GAACTCGAGGACTCTGATGTAAGGGAAATACTGCAGACTCTGATGCAAAGGGAAACTCTGATGTAAGGGAACTGAATATATATACAGCAAAGGGCTGTCCACTACTAAACATACTGTATGATAAAAAAAAAAACCCATAAGATTCATGTATAACTAGTGGCAATAATCCTGTTTCTTTCATTTTCAAAGTGTAAACAAGGTGTATTCCATTATAATGATAAACTGGTAATTTTCCAATACTGGTGCAGAAATCCAAATCCTGTGCTCCCTTCCTGTATCCCCACACTCTCCGAAAGCTATGAACAGCAATGTTAGAAGTCCTATGCGCTTGTATTACAGATATCTTGGGATTGCTGGGACTTGTAGTCCTCCTTCCTGCCACCTCTCCTCCACCCTGCCAGGAAGCTACAGATGTCTTGGAATTGCTGGGACTTATAGTCCTCTTTACTGCTTACCTATCCTCCTCATTATTAGGACTCAATATCTGGTGTACTCACACATGTTAAAGGAATAGCAAGAAAGGCCCACATAGCGTAATTCCATTATTAAACCTTTTGCACATAATTGGTTAGATTCACTTAAAAACAGTAGAAAAAAGCATAGAAGCAAAAAAGTACCAGCAATCCAGTGACTCTGTGCTTTTTTCTACTGTGTTATTCATTCCCCCGTTTACATTAGTGACCCCCCCAACAGGCTTTGTGTGGTCTTTCTGACTGGGAGATGTCATGGATCTGCCCTCCTCCATTGCTTGCTCGGGTGTAGCAGGGCAGTCAGACATGGTACAGTCATGGACCAACGGCTCCTTTTCATCACTTCTGTCCTCTTTCTTTTTCACAGTCCTCTAGTGACAAAGCACTGGCAGCCGGTGGCTCTTCCACCTTCTGCTTCTGAGTCCCCGCTCCCACTTCAGTCTTTCTGTGATTCATAAAAGGCGCCAAACAGCGCCATGGCATCACTGCATGTCCACCTTGCATCTGAGACAACCTGAGGCCACAGGTGCCTTGCCAGCTTCAGACCCACAAATGTGCAGTTCTAAAGCAGGTTTGCAGCCATACTTTTTTATGGGCAGCTACTGCCCATAAAGGGCTTTTACGGACAGTTTGTAAATCAGCCAATTTTTTGCAAACTGTCTGTAAATTTTCAAATAGTTGTCAACCCTGGTGCTGAAAGAGTTGGGCCATTTTAACCACTTCAATACTGGGCACTTTTACCCCCTTCCTGCCCAGGCCATTTTTTCAGGTTTCAGCGCTCTCACACTTTGAATGACAATTGCGCAGTTATACAACATTGTACCCAAACTAACATTTTATCATTTTCTTCACACAACTAGAGCTTTCTTTTGGTGTTATTTTAATCACCACTGGGGGTTTTATTTTTTGCTAAATTAACAAAAAAAGACCGAAAATTTTGAAAAAAAAAACTCGTTTTTCTTTGTTTCTGTTATAAAAGTTTGAAAATAAATAATTGTTCTTCATAAATTTAGGCCGAGATGTATTCTGCTACATGTCTTTGGTGAAAATAACCCAAATTAGGATGTATTATTTACTTTGAAGGAAAGTTATAGAGTTTACAAACTATGGGATACAGTATATCTGAATATTGATCAATCCTGAAGTACTGACAGCCAATCTAATTTCTTGAGGTCCAAGAATGTCAGAAGAGTACAGCTATCCCCCAAATGACCCCTTTTTGCAGAGTAGACAGTCCGACGTACTTCATAAGAGGCATGGCGAGTTTTTTGAAGTTGTCATTTTTTAATCATAATTTTTCGGAAAATGAAATAATTAAAAAAAATTATTTTCACTATTTTTTTTTACATACTGTCACCAGTGCAGTACAGCGTCATCATGTAACTGGCATGGCGGTGATCAGGGACACTGACTGGTGACAGTATGAAAAAAAATATATATAATTTTATTTTTTATTACATTTTTTTTCTTTTTGTTAAGATTTTTTTTTTTCATATTTCACTATGACCAAAGTAGTACAATGTTACCATAGTAACATTGTACTACTTTGGAGAACTGATCAGTATTTTTTTGTTTTACACAATTTGCTTTAGCAAAGAATTACTTTGCTATAAGCAAGCATTTACCTGAATGACATCGATTCATTCAGGGTTTTTTTTTATTTTTTTTTGTGCTTAGCTGTGATTTGGCCATGGCTAATCACATGACACAGCTGGGCTGTGATTGGCCCAGCTTGTGCATGTGATCGCTGTGACCAGTAGTATACAATGGATGGCATGAATGAAGCAATCCATTGCATACAACTGTCATGTGACCTGCTGTGATTGGTCAGCAAGTTAATTAAAGAATACTTGACCATCAAAATCCACTATTACCCACAAATCACAATGCATTCTTCTAACCTAACAAGAATTGAGTGTAAGGAGAAAACACAAAGTTTAAATAACCGTGGAAGACAATACCGTGTGTGCTAATTAACCACTTCCTGTCCAACCCATGCATATAAATGGCTGGACGGGAGAAGTGCAGGAGTGGGTGGCCATTTCTAACTGTCCTACCCGCTTCCCTTCTTGTGCTCTCTCCCTGGGAGCACACAGCACCACGATTCGGTGCCCGTTGTGTCTGGAGGGCACAGCGAACACTGATCATTGTATGGGACCTCTATGTGAGGTCCCGATCATGTGATCACTGGTTGGCCAATCAGTGATCACATGAAGAGTAGTAAACAAGATGTCACTTCTGACATCATTGCTTACTATGTGTGAAATCTGTGAATGATCACAGAGATCACATGATACAAGGCTATTCACAACAGCCTTGTACCATGTGACAAGCTGTGACCAATCACAGCTCACACAGTATTTCTCAATGGCTGCAAGAATGCAGCCAGAGAGAAGGAGAAATGATTGCTTTTACAGCCTTTACGGGTGTAAAAGCAATCAGTGTAAGAAAAAAAAAAAATCTTCATCACCCCTCACAAGTAGTACAGTGTCACTATGGTGACACTGTACTGCTAGGGTGACGGTGTGTAAAAAAAAAAAAAAAAAACACAAATAATAATATAAAAATCTGATAAAACAGGCATGCAGCGCTAATATTATACAAGTGAAGATATGTGCAGGCGCCTATAGGCGTAAAGGTGAAACCACGTGAATCGTCCAAATGTGATGTAAATACTGTAAATGCTATCCAATAATAAATATACTATAGTCATGTGACTATGGTGGTGAATATGAAGTCCACTGAAGTGATAATCCAATTCCGTGAATTCCGTGACTTGAGTGCTTACAAAATGGTAATGTGAATGCACTAACCAGAAGTGCAATCTTTTTGCACATTTGTGTAAATGGTAGAACCCATCATGGTCATCTGGATGTGGACAGGACCAAGGCAATCATCTGGCACACGTCAGCATACAAGTAGATTAGCGGATCCTACGCACACTTTCCAAGGACATCTCCTCACATTTACATGACCAAATGGACAGGGACCCTCAAGGCATGTAGTGGTATCCACCCTGGAAGGCTCGTGGAATAACAAGCCAAGAAGGTACTTGATAGTGCAGTATTTTATTTAAAGAATGGATAATTCATGTATATATGAAATGCACTCACATCTGGCTGAAAACAGCAAATACACAGGGTTCCAAAGATAGCATCCGGCCTTCCTGACGGCCTCAATGGCGTGATGTATACAGCTAGGCTCCTCCCAACGTGTTTTGTGCCCGAGCACATCTTCAAAGGGAGCATGCCAGCTGTAAACGTCTGCTTTATATAATGGTGAACGAGCATGTGCGATCGGGCGCCATCTTACCCGAACCGCGCATGTGCGAAAGTCTGGAAAGCCGCACTGTCACCAAGAAGCGGCACTGCGGCTGAAGAGAAGAGCAGACAATACAGCGGGGGCTAAATAAGAGCTAAAAATCTATATACACTCACAAATGGGGCAGTGATTTTAAAGAATGTGCAGTATAAGGCAAAAAGCCTGGTCCAGAAGTAATTTGGCCGCCATTTTCAAATATCCCACAACAGTACATGAAGCTAGATATATAGAGATGCCATTTTTTTGGAGTCTGAGTGGTGATACAGGCAGTGAACCACTAGGACGCCCCGTGGGACTACAAGTCCCAGCCTTTCAAATTTTACAAATAATAAAGCCAAATATTATGAGAAATATTAAGAAAAGATATAGAACATAGCATTTTTATAGAAATTTGGTTTAGTAATAAGCTAATGCCCCTAAAAAATTAATTAAGTAAACATTGCTGTATTGAAACCCGAGAATATGTGCAACAAAGTTAAATTAAACAAAATATACAATACATAGAGCCAGATGTGATAAATAAACACATTAATCAAGAAATATAAAAAATATATAAAACACATTATACAGTACTATGAATTATATATAAAAAAGGTACACACATAAAATCTTTAATTTGACCTTATCACAAACATATGAGTAAAAAAAAGAAGAAAGTATGTATTCCGAAATTAATTTAAAAGATCATCAGAATCTCAAAGAGGACATGAGTAAAAAAAACTCTAAAATGCCAAATCATCAATATTTAAAATATTAAAAAATTTAAAAATTAATGTCTAAGAGATTAATATAAACCTTTAAAAATAAACCTTTAAAAATAAATATCTCAATAAAACCAAAACCACTGGGGTCTATATATAATAGGGGAATACAATAATAAAAATTAAAAAGTTTTTATGACCATCCAAAGAAAATATTCTGAGTAGAAGTTCAAATAAACGCATGTCAAAATTACATATATAACTAAAAACACAATGTCAGACTCAACTGGTATCTATAAAACAATTGATATCAAGGTCAACATTAAGACTTTCTGTAGATAAAGAGCGCAGTTCTACTATCCATTTTGTCTCCAGTTTTGAAACTGCCCTGCGTTTATGTCCCCCTCTCCAGTGGGGTTGAATGATATAAATTCCTGAAAATTTTAAACAGGATGGATCCCTGTGATGATAATCCGTAAAGTGTTTAGAGAAAGAGTGTTCTTTTAGACCAGGGGTCCTCAGACTTTTTAAACAGGGGGGCCAGTTCACTGTCCCTCAGACCGTTAGAGGGCCGGACTATAGTTAAAAAAAAAAAAACTATGAACAAATGCGGACACAGTACAGGAGATGACCAGAGACTGCAGACACAGTACAGGAGATGACCAGAGACTGTGGACACAGTACAGGAGATGACCAGAGACTGCGGACATTGTACAGGAGATGACCAGAGACTGTGGACACAGTACAGGAGATGACCAGAGACTGCAGACACAGTACAGGAGATGACCAGAGACTGCGGACATTGTACAGGAGATGACCAGAGACTGCGGACACAGTACAGGAGATGACCAGAGACTGCGGACACAGTACAGGAGATGACCAGAGACTGCGGACATTGTACAGGAGATGACCAGAGACTGCGGACACAGTACAGGAGATGACCAGAGACTGCGGACATTGTACAGGAGATGACCAGAGACTGCGGACACAGTACAGGAGATGACCAGAGACTGCAGACACAGTACAGGAGATGACCAGAGACTGCGGACATACAACAGTGGTGGGAATACTGGGTCGGCCACTATATAAGATGCACAGACATTTCCCCCCAAGTGTGTCTTATGGAGTGAAATAGTGCCCCATCATTAGTGTCAGTGGGAGGAATAGTGCCCCATCGTTGGTGTCAGTGGGAAGAATAGTGCCCCATCATTGGTGTCACTGGGAAGAATCGTGCCCCATCATTAGTGTCAGTGGGAGGAATAGTGCCCCATCATTGGTGTCAGTGGGAGAGAAACGTGCCCCATCATTGGTGTCAGTGGGAAAAAAACGTGCCACATTATTGGTGTCAGTGGGAGGAATAGTGCCCCATCATTGGTGTCAGTGGGAAGAATCGTGCCCCATCATTGGTGTCAATGGGAGGAATAGTGCCCCATCATTGGTGTCAGTGGGGGGAGGAATAGTGCCCCATTGTTGGTGTCAGTGGGGGGAGGAATAGTGCCTCATTGTTTGGTGTCAGTGCGGGGAGGAATAGTGCCCCATCGTTGGTGTCAGTGTGGGGGGTAGTACCCCGTCATTGGTGTCAGTGGGGGAAGGGGATAGTGTCCCAACATTGGTGTCAGTGAGAGGAATAGTGCCCCATCATTGGTGTCAGTGGGGGAAGGGGATAGTGTCCCAACATTGGTGTCAGTGGGAGGAATAGTGTCCCATCATTGTTGTCAGTGGGAGGAATAGTGTCCCATCATTGGTGTCAGTGGGAAGAATAGTGCCCCATTTTTGGTGTCAGTGGGAGGAATAGTATGTCATTGGTGTCAGTGGGGGAGAATAGTGCCCCTTTATTGGTGTCAGTGGGGGGGATAGTGTCCCTACATTGGTGTCAGTGGGAGGAATAATACCCCATCATTGGTGTCAGTGGGGGAAGGAATAGTGTTCCATCGTTGGTGTCAGTGGGGGGTGGAATAATGCCCCATCGTTGGTGTCAGGGGGGGGGAGGAATAGTGCCCCATTGTTGGTGTTAGTGGGGGGAGGAATAATGCCCCATCGTTGGTGTCAGTGGGGGGAGGAATAGTGCCCCATTATTGGTGTCACTGGGAGGAATAATGCCCCATCATTAGTATCAGTGACACCAATGATGGGGCACTATTCCTCCCACTGACACCAATGACTCTTAACTTGCTGACCCCTATTCCAGCATGCTGCTGCTGCAGCCAGCATTCCTGGTTGCAGCAGCACCATTTGCACTGCACACTTACCTGTCAGCTGTCCTTCACTCTGGCCTCTCCCTCACTCGATGTTCGCGGGGGGGCCGCTCGGCTCCGCCTCCTCGCAGGTGATTGGCCAACTGTGTGCCTTTCCTGAGCTACAGTTCTGGTGCCCAATCACCGGTGAGGAGGCGGAGCCGAGCTGCAGCATGAACATCGAGTGAGGGAGTGGCCGGAGTGAATGAAGGAGCAGCGCTTCCTGGACTGGATCGTCGTTGGACTGGGACACGGAGCCAGGTAAGATACAACAGCCCCCTGCCCGCCCTTGTACTTAGTGTCTCTTCCTTGCGGCAAATAAGCCCCTGCCAGTGGGCTGGATAAATGTCCTCGGCGGGCCACAGTTTGAGGACCCCTGTTTTAGACCTTTCTTAATATTATATACGTGCTCTCTCAATCTGTCTCTGAGACTTCTAGTGGTGTTCCCGACATACTGTTTATTACACGTACACTCTAACAAGTAGACAACTTGTGTACTATTGCATGTGATCAATGAATCAATATCATATAATATTCCTGATATGCTAGAGGAAAACGTTTTAGTCACTCTCTTATGTATACCATTAAACTGGCAGATCATGCATTTATTGCATGGGAAAAAACCCTTTCATTCCAAAAGAAAAGGATAATTGTTTGGGAGGATCCATGATATTGGGTGCTAATGTATGCCTTAAGGAAGTGGCTTTCCTGACTGTGATTTCAGGAAAATTAGGAATATTAGTACTAAGGACTGGATCATTTTTTAAAATGGCCCAATTTCTTTTAATGATCTTAGCAACCTCTTTGTATTGTGTGGAAAAATTAGTAATAAAGAGACAGAATCTTTCAGATTTTCGAACTAGTTTTGAGGAAAGTAGCTATGTTCTGTCCAAAGATCCCACATCTTTAATCTCTTTATCGAGTGTTGCTGCATCGTAACCCTTCTCTAAAAATCTATTTTTTAAAATGTCTGCTTGAGAGTAAAATCTTTAATATCATTACAATTCCTGCGAATTCGAAGAAACTGACCTTTTGGGATATTTTTCAACCAAACCGTATGATGGCAGCTGTCTGTGGGTATATAACTATCATGGACAGTATTTTTAAAAAAACTTTTAATGATGATCCCAATGCCATTGTTTATGAGTGTAAGGTCTAAGAAATTAACTTCGGTATAATCATAAAGAAAAGTAAGCTTAATATTTAAATCAATAAAATTCAATGTAGTAAAAAAGTTATTAAGAGAAAATGTATACCCTTGCCATAAAAGAAAAATATCATCAATATAGCATCAATAGAATAAAAGATCTGGCCAATCCCTGGAATATATCAAATCTTCCTCCCATCTCAACATAAAAAGATTGGCCAGACTGGGAGCAAACTTCGCTCCCATTGTGATGCCGGTGGTTTGTAAATAGAAATTGTTACAAAACCAAAAATAATTATGTTGCATTGCAAAACTTGGCAGTTCCAAAATAAAATTCTTTTGGTGTGCGGGAATGTCCATCGCTAAATTCAGGTAGAATTCAGCTGTCCCATCTGTGTGTTTATTGTTGCTGTAGAGCGATGCAACATCTGCTGTTACCAAATAAGTAGGGGATTGAATCTTTATATCTCTAATATCAGTCAATACCTGTTTTGTGTCCTTCAGAAAAGCGGGAGTGGTGTGTTTACTAAAGGTTGAAGGAAAAAAATTGATATATATTGTCCAATTCTGGAGTTTAATGAACCAATCCCACTAACTATTGGTCTGCCGGGGGGGGTTAATAAGGTCTGTATGCACTTTTGGTAGATAATAAAGAACCGGTAACCTTGGGGCAACAGGGAAAAGAAATTCCTTTTCTTTTTTATTTATAATCCCATTTTCATAACCTTTCTTAATGATTCTCTTAAATTCTTTCTTAAATGGGATTAAGGGATTTTTGGTAAGTAGCGTGTAGGTGTCTTTATCCACTAAGATTTTAAACACTTGCAATAAGTAGTCTCCTTTATCTAGGACCACCACACTCCCCCTTTATCAGCTGGATGGATTACTAGATTTTTATTTTCTATGAGTGTTCTCATCCCTTCATTAATGTGTGTTTGGTTATTCCAGTTCTTGATTTTTAGATTATCTAGATCTTTAAGTACTAGATTTCTAAAACTATTTATATGAGAATGTGAAGGGGGGTTGAATAAAGAGGCAATTTTCAAGCTGGAGGTTCAAACGCCACTACCCAGATTACTAGTTATTTCCCATGTGGGAGGATTACTCAAAAAGTGCCTTTTAAGGGATAGTTTCCTAGTGAATTTGTGTATATCTATATATGTGTTAAACTTGTTTAATTTGGCATTGGGGGCAAATTTAAGCCCTTTATTCAAAAGGGATAACTCCTTATCTGTTAAAACCACTTTGCTCAAGTTAAAAATTCCATCCGTGTCTAAAGCTTTCTTTTTTTGCTATCCATTAATTCTCTTTCCCCCTCGCTTTCATCTATTCTTACTCTTCTTTTCAAAATTTTTGGACTTTTTCATTTACATAGCAAAAAATAAAAATCCCAGTGGTGAATAAATGCCACCAAAATAAAGTTTTATCTGTCTCAAAAAAATGCAAAAAAATTAATATGGGTACAGTGTTGCATGACTGCGCAACTGTCATTCAAAGTGTGATAGCACTGAAAGCTGAAAAGTGGTCTGGACAGGAAGGGGGTAAAAGTGTCTGGACTTGAAGTGGTTAAAATGCTATTTCCAGTTCACCAGTATTGCAGACATCAATGGACTATGCTGGACTATAGTGACAGGAATAACAATTTAAACTTTAAATATTCTATAACAATTGCATAAGCTGTCTTCATAAGCCAGGCTCTCAAATTTCATCTTTAGTGTAACATTATTAAAGGATTTTTTAAGGAAACCCATTATGTGAAAATATGTTGGCTGCCAATGTTGACCTGAAAATTCTAGCTACTTGGCAGTCTTTTGCTTTGGTGCTTTGTCAATTACTGAGCTGAATCAAGTATGCAACAAATAATGATGCGCACATTCACAAAAAGGTAAACAGTAAATAAACACACCATATACCGTATTTTTCGCTCCATAAGACGCACTTTTTTCCCCCCAAAAAAGGGGCTTATGGAGCAGCCGGACTGGTATTTCCACCGCCGCTGTGTCAGAATACCAGGCCGGCCGCTCAGCTCTGCAGCAGGACCTTACCTGTTCCTTGGTCCATTGCTGCGCAGTCTTCCCGCGCTGGCTTCTTTAGTGTGGGCTCTCGGCTTAACAGCCGGGTGCCCAGTGCGCAAGAGCGAGTAGCACTGCACTTTGTGAATAGTACGGCGTCTTCTGGGACACATGACAGGTCCCAGAAGATGGCGGACCAATCACAAAGCGCAGCGCTTCTCGTGCAGCGCACTGGGCACCCGGCTGAGCACTAAAGGGAGGAAAACTCCACGGAAGTGGGAGCAGGTACCTGTCAAATTCAGGTACCCGCTCCCCCTCCCTCCACAAAGGTCAGCAGTCATCCCTTGTACTGTCCGCAGTCTCTGGTCATCTCCTGTACTGTCCGCAGTCTCTGGTCATCCCCTGTACTGTCGGCAGTCTCTGGTTATCCCCTGCACTGTCCGCAGTCTCTGGTCATCTCCTGTACTGTCCGCAGTCTCTGGTCATCTCCTGTACTGTCCGCAGTCTCTGGTCATCCCCTGTACTGTCCGCAGTCTCTGGTCATCTCCTGTACTGTCCGCAGTCTCTGGTCATCCCCTGTACTGTCCGCAGTCTCTGGTCATCCCCTGTACTGTCTGCAGTCTCTGGTCATCCCCTGTACTTTGCTCTAAAAAGAATCATCCAACCCACCACTAGTGGAAAAATCCCTTATTCAAAAAATATATTAACACGTGCTTTTCAAATATTAAGTGTCCAAACATATATAATCATAAACACTATATCCCAAAGTGTCCAGTGTCTTATAGTCCAAAAAAAAGTTTTAAAAACTAAAAAATTAATATGTCCCACTTGAAATAACTTCTTTGTACTGTTGAAGATCCACAAAGGCCAGCTTCCACAGAGACCCTCAAAGAAATCAAAAACTCAACATAGTGCATTACCTTAATAACCTAATATATAACACTCCACACGTGTGTTTAAAATATATAAGTGCAAAAAACCATGAAAAAAAAGAAAAAAAACCACTGCAACTTGTGCCAAAATAGCGATGTGTTCCACTCAGTGTATTCACTTCAATAATGTATCACTTCTAATACTTATAGCATATATACCCTTTCCAGAAAAAAATATCAAAACTGCTGTAAGGTACAGTATGGAGAAATCTGCAACACCACTCAGCCTCCTTGCCTCCTCTCCTGACTTTATAATAGTATTCTCATCCCCTCATGGTATCACCAGCCAGTTCCCCGGTCATTCGGATCCCCACAGGATGTATATGAGACAGTAATAGTGGAATTCCGTAACATACCATGGAATAAAACTTTAATGAATCTGCTTACATGTATATAATAAAATTAGCGCATTTGAAAAAGACCCCACAGTCTGGGGATTACCAAGCAGCTTCTAAGTGGAGATCCATGCGATTCCCAACTCCAAGATGGCCGCCGTATCACTTCTGGTTCCTGCTCCGTAAGTCCGACGTCACTTATCTGACGCGTTTCGTCACATCCGGCACTTAATCTCCTTGGGATATCCTGTAGCAGTATATCTGCGACAGGATGGAGGAGAAAGCTGTTAGTGAAAAAAAAAGTCCAATAAAGTTAATCTATCATCAGTCATGTTGTTCAGTGATGCATGTTCTCATCGATCATGATAAATGATGTCTGAAAACCTGCCAAAAGGAAAATAAACATGCCTACTGCTGAGACAATGCTCTCCTGTTGCAGCTTCTCATTGAATGACAAATTCCTGGCTGACAGGTGATTGTAAACAAAACGGCAGTAAAAGTTGACTAATGTCATTGACCAAATATGTATAGGACCATACTTGTTTAATGCTTTTGACCAAATATGACTGCCAGCTCCCTAGCAACCAGTCTGAACATGAAACTGTAGCATTAAGAAGCAGCAGAGTATTGCTGCTAATGACATTACTTCCTACTACAGCAGAAAGTCTGATATAGTGAACAAGCACCCCACTTACATTTTCCATTCATTGAGTACTGAATATTTGGACTGAATTCTGGATGGGTCTAAATCCAAAGCTCATGTCCAGCAAAAACAATGTCATAACTGCTCAACATACCAATTCAAAGTGACATATGCAGAAAGTACTGAAGTCATGACGGCTGGCAGTTAGCATTTTCAGAAGGAGAGGTCAACAATGGAAACCTCCATAGTTTTATCATAAACTAGAGTAGTTTGTATTTTAGATATTACAAGCTTTCGATTCAGTTTGGGATGCATGAACACTTTGTAGTCTGCTTTATTTTGTCTGACATTGGCATTGATACACTACAAATAAGATGAGATAGACAACTCAATATTTCTGCCGAGTTGATTTGTTGTTACAGCCTTCACACTTGGACTTGCAAACAGGTGGCAAGAGTAATGAGTAGAAAATCAATCTAGCAGACAATGAAAATGTCAGAGCATCACAGCTACACACTATATTCCAGTAAGAATTGTAGCAAATTTCAATAACCTTGTAACAAACACCAAGTTAAAAGTAGAAAGTGTCAGTCTGTGAAGTAATTCATTGTCAGTCTTTGATGTAATCAGGTTATTTCCTTTGAATGTTAGCAGAAAATAAAATATTTTCCAAACTTCTTATTTTCTATTCATTGACTGTAGATAAGTACAAGTGTGGTAATCATATAATGGAAAAGTATATGATAACAGTAAATCTGAATGTTAATTAGAGTTGGAAGAGTCCAAAACACATACAACTAATAAATTAGTAATTCTAACCGGATAATAACTTGTGATTTATTCAATGCTGGATTTCAGGACTGAATCTGACCAGCTTTTACAATGCCCCCCCCCCCAACACCCCCATCCCACCACACACACACACACACACACACACACACACACACACACACACACACACACACACACACACACACCTATCTGTATATAATATACAAGGAAAAATAAATAGAGTGGAGTAGCATTGGAGTCCCTATCAGTTGCTTACTGGTGATCCATTAGAGAGATTTATCCTTGCTTCCTGTACTGCAGAAAATGTTTTACCAGACAAACCTTCCTTAGTTTATCCAAAGCTGGAACAAAGATTTTGTTTGACATAAGCTTTAATTTAAAAGGACATAGGATCCAGTTCAAAAATCAATTGAGTTAAATACAAAAAAACAAAAACAAAAAAAAGAAAACAATGCTCCCTAATTTGATGCCAATATTGAAGCAAACAATGGTTTGTAACTCTAAGTAAATGCTGTACTGCTTCTAACGTATCAGCCATCAAGATGGTAATTAAAAATTGTTGCTGAAACTAGGAGGGAATTTCAACATACTGTACTGTAAGCAGACTACTAACATACTAACTAGCAAAACTGAAATAAATATTTAATATTGGGTATTAACTAAATACATTTTTTTCAGAAAATGTATAAAGTACTACAATATAACCACTTAAAGTTTGCTTTTATCTTCTCCAAAACACTCCAAAATTATAGTATGAACAAGCTGAAAATACTAAAAACATGAGGACATTTTTTTTCAGACTGCCATCTATTCTAACACAACTTTCAAGCACCCTAAACTTTCCTTGCACCCTTCTTCAATTATAATAATAATCCCAAAATAATTTCAACTGATCATATGTTGACTGGGGTACTCTTATGCTTCTCCAATATCAACAGTGTGCAGCCCTCAAGTGATTTCCTATGCAGCATTCTACTGAGCATTTTGGCTGTGTATTGATGCTCCCACCAGGTGAAATGGTTAAAAAGATTATGAACATCATTCAACCCAGAAAAGAAGCAGTGCTGCTGGACCAAGCAAAGTATCTGAGGGACAGGGTGTGGGAGAAAATTCATATTACAGAGAAAGCTGCTTGCTGTATTTGCAAGTGTTAGGGTTATTTTTTTAATTTATTTATAGAAAATTGAGTTAGGCTTTAAAAGACAGGTTCACCTTTTGAAAAAAAAACATTATTTTTTTTTTGCAATTAAACAAAAAAATGCATCTATTATGTACATTTTTGCAGTTAAATAAAAAAGTGCATCTCTTATGTTTTTTTTTTCTAAATAGCCTGCAGAGCATTGCACCCACAAGCAGCAGAATATAGGTGTAATCTAAGGCTTCTGCAGACTCTCAGGATAATTCTCTGCCTGAACCTTGTACAGTATGGGCAGACTACTACTTGAGAGCAGGAAGAATCAATGAATTACCAGAGAGCTCATCAGTGCCCTCGTAGTTTGTTGAGAACTACAGGCCATCATCTGCAATAGCTGTTGGTCCATGTAGGCTATTAACTTACACAAAGTGGCCATGTGGGCAGAGCCTTCCACAGCTGTGCTGTTTCTAAGTAGTGAAAAAGGTTGAGAAGATCCTCACTTGCTGTCACAGGTAGGGAGAATTTGGGGGTGCGGGAGTGCAGATGTTGGAACATATTCCATTTTCCATGCTACAAATGGGTGCAACATGTAACATAGGGTGAATATAGCTGTTAATGAAGGCTAACTTTGTAGTCCAAATGACAGAAACTTTTAGATTGAAGGAAATATTATTTTATGCAGATTTAGCATTTTCAGCTTACAATCTTCTAAAAATTGAAAAATCTGCAATACATTTTATGGTTAAATAGTTTTTATATTTCATCAAAATATTTTACAAAATGCCCTGGCTAAAAGACACACTGCTGTTTTGCCATAAACTGCTGTGTTAATTACATTGAGATGGGTTCCCAGAATGTGACTGAGCAGAAGGAAATCTGACTGAATATTTCCACCAAAATTTGGGGCCAATGCAAGGATGAATTATTTGTTCATATTTTAGAAACAAGCTATGTTGGGAAAGACATTTTCTGATTACAGTAAAGTGATATTTTCTATTAACAGTTATACGGAGGACCAACGTAAAAATTAAATTTTAAATGGGATCCATGCTTTAGAACATCAATGGAAAAAAACATTTCAGTTCAAGATAACTATGTTGAAAAATATTTTAATATACTTTGTTTTGTTAAATTGCTTTAATGTACTTTTTATCACCCTTTGAATAAAACTGTAAATGGGAAATCTGAAGAAAATTGTGGAGCAGTACCCAAGGTAAGTAATCAAAGTACGTGTTTTTTTCCTGACTGAAAAATAAAACCTGATCAGGAGATATAAAATCCATTAAAATTTTAGACATGTAACCTTTTTTTCTATCTCAGCTTAAATATATCTTAATGAGCTTGATGTTTAATTGATTACTTTACTTAATTATAATAGTTACAGCTGGTCTTTTGAGTATTATTTCATTCAAAACCATGTCTTCAATTATAAAATTATTTATAATAAAGTACCACATTTTTTAAAGTTACTGCATTTGACTAAGTGAAGTGAGGCCCTCGAGACTAGCAACAAATTATACTTTTTATAAATAGTTTAAATTTAATTTAATTTCCTTCTATAGTTGGATATTTAATATATTTAAACAATGTCATGAACTCATTGGGAAAGAAAGCATAGTTTTATGAAACAATCAACAACAATGGATAGATGTATAATTGTATATTTTTAGCACTGTCCATTTGCATAGAAATGGCTTTATTGATTCAGGAAAGACGTCTTTTACTGAATATATCAGCAAGCCATGAAATTATATGACTTTAAATGCAAAAATGTGTATTAAAAAAAAAAAGTGTGAATAGGAAAACACTATAGCAGAAACCTGAAAATACAATACAAGGCAAGCCTAAACTTCTTTTCAAATTACAAACAAATAATATAAAATGTCCACAAAGCAAATGGTATACCTACATCAATCTAGTTCACGTTGTATTTATTGCTAGAATCTTATCCCTTGTTAAACTGAAAAATGCTAGAATAACAACAGGGAATGACCTCAAAATGAAATCTGTCAGAACAATTATTGCGTGGTCCATCAAACAGCACTATTTTTTGTTTCCTGATCCATGCCAAGTCCAATGTCATTATGAAAGCAGTCTTCAGCATTACCCTAAATGGACATCAAATGCATTAAAGACCAACACAGTATTCTTCACATCCATTTACCTAATAACATTAGCTTGTACTTAGTAAAAAGCTGAATCGTCCATATATGCATCTGCACTTAGGTGCAATAAATTACTGATTTCAGAAGCATTTCTTTAGGATTTTATTTAGGACTTTTTGTAAAAAGCTAATTAATAAAATAATGATACATGAAAAATGTTATATTTTTCTGTGACACAGAATAACCCGGACAGTTGTTAAAATCTTTTCACCAACAAAAAACATTTGCAAAAAAAAATGAAAATGTGCAAAAATACACAATTTGGGGAGCGTTGTTAATTCATTTTAAAATTGTACATTTCCCATAAAAATCAATAACTGGTTATTAGAGCTGTAATAGCAATATGTAGGTAGAAAAATACTGTAACTAACCACTTTTCTTCTTTTTATGTGTTTATAGCAAATCTTTCTGTAGGGAAAATGATCCTTATCTTTACAAGGCAGAATTCTTTTAATACAGTGTACCGTAAGTCTATTTAAATTAGAAGCAATTTTAAATTTGAGGCTTCTTTATTCACTTGCACAACATGGGATGACATGATCATGATATTCTATCAACAAAAATAAAAAAAATACTTTCAGCATATGAGGTTCTTAAAATATATGTATTTCAGTTATTTAATAAGTAGTTTTCCTGGGGTATAACATCACCACCCCCATAACACCTAACACCTGGTCATTCTATTGTGGTTTTGTTTCTAATCATTTAAATACAAATTCCAAAGAAATAAAAAAAGTACAACAGAACATAGTAAAATATGTCATAAAGGATATAAAACCTTATTCCTCCACATACAGAAAGCAGTCACATTCAGGAATAATAAAAGACACTCTTAATACATTGTCTCAAAGAATGTAACTATTTATACAAAGTAAGTATAGTACGGCTAGGGCACATGGCCACTTAGGCAAACAACTACCAACATGAACTCTTCTAAATGAGAATCAGTAATAACAATAGCTCAAGGGCTCATCATCCAAGAAACAACAAAATATAGCTACACAGCCAAAAAAAGAGGGGAACCATCTAGATAATGTGGCTAATATACTATACTCAAGGACCCTTACATCCTCCAACAGGGGGAGAAAGGCCTTGCAACCTGATTTAAAAGAGAAAAAACAGATGTCCCCCAAATATCATACAGGAAAGTTCTACACCAGAAGAAATTAACTAATAACTAATAGAAATTAGTAAGGAAAATAAAGAATAAGAGAAAAGAGAAAAGCCACTTGCTGACACTCCAATACCGGGATTCCATCCAAATGGGATTATCTCAAGGATTCCCCATTGGGCATTTTATCCAGAGGTCCCAGTCATTCCATTGTGGTTTGTCACTGGGTGTACTGTACATTAGTGTGCGTTTCATTAAATCAGCTCAGTTTTTAGAATATGCTTTATGGTGCTTTCAGTTTGGGTCTGTCAGCAACTACTGTACTGCACATTGCAATAAACAGTAGAACACACTTTTTGTGTGTTTTTAGAATTGTAATACAGTAGAACACACTTTTTACCACCTGTTACTGCAATGCATAGGTCTGAAGCCAGTCTAGCAGAGCAAACAGGTTTGTTTTAATTATATTCTCCTCCTTACCTTTTCGTTACTCACTATGCAGTGCCAGGTGGCTAAGGATATACCGGATACTTCATGGTATGGAGAAAGATAATCCAATCAGCACTGGTACTGTAGATGCTGCTGAGCAGCGATAAGTTAAAGTGAACCTTTTGCTTTGCCCTGCATGGGTAAAGTGAAGGTTCACTTTAAAGCAACCCTGTCACTAACTGTACAAATTTAAGCCAAAATCCCCTTGTAAAAGTAGACATCAAATACTCACTTTTCCAGGGGCAGTTTTTTAAACTTTGCTATGTAGCCAATCTTCACATGCAGCTGCTATTGACAGTCCCATCCCTATGTCACTAATTGACATATTAGGGATGTAGGAACAGAAAGGAGGAACCCCCAGCAGCAACACAGTGAAGATCAGAAACACAGTGTTCAGGGGCACAGTAAATTGTTTAGAGACCTCCTACTGGAAAGATAAGTATTTACTTTTAGTTAGCAACAGGGTTGATTTAAGCCTTAAAGTGGAAGTAAAGACAAATCCTTACTATTGCTAAACCTACTCTCCCACATTCTAAGCCTAATCTATCTAGTCCTGTAAAGAAAAATATTGCTATACTTACCTGTTCTGCAGCCACTCCGGTCCGGTTCCTGTAGAACAGGTAAGTATAGCACTTTTTTCTTTACAGGGCTAGGTAGATTAGGCTTAGAATGTGGCTGAGAGTAGGTTTAGAGTTAGTTAAGATTTGCCATACTTCCACTTTAAAATAACTGGTTTAAAAAAAAATTGGAGCATCAAAGATAGATAACCTATTATTGAAATGTATTTTTTTTTATTTGTTTGTAATCATTACCAGAGCTGAGATATTATTGCAGGTCTTTCTTCTGAAAATGCTTTTTGTATGGCTGTTGCCTTGCTGTTGTACAGATCCAGTGGTATTGATACTTTCTGAGTGACTGACCTGGAAAAAACATGTGGATCAAAAATTGTAACTGATTATTGAAACCAATGGATCAGTATGATAGCCATGAATTTATAGAATTAATGCAATAACTGTAATCTTTATTTACAGTTGTCCCAAAACATTCAATCCACAAGCATCAACTATTAGAAATCATCATTTCTTTAAATCATTTCCATCCATAAATAGTGCAGCTTGTCCAGGAACTGCATGGTGATGACAAAAAATGACATATAGAATATTGTAAGTGGTCCTACAATGACAGGAATTATTGGTGTTTTACAGTGATGAAGTCTAATTTCATGGCAGTGTCAACCGGAACAATGCATGTCAGGAGCTAGGTCTGAAACTGCAACCTCTGCCATGTCTGGTGATGTCTCTTCTTGCTGAGCCACCTGAGAGGCCAGACAGCCCTCTGTCTA